TTCATATCACTGGTCAGACGGTTTAGACCCCTGACCTTTTCTTCCCTAATGATAACATTTAGGCCTCAGTTATATTTCATCTCCAGGCCCAGAAAAGCAGCAAAATCAGACAAGTGGCACCATGGCTGCCTCAGGACCAGCTGCAGTGACTAATGACCCCCTGCCCTGGTACCAACCAATCAGTGGAGACCAGGACCCTGAAAGAGCACACCTGGAAAGATGATGAATATTCTATTAAGACACTCCCCTAAACCTCCCCTAAGATTTCCAGGACAAAGGACCCAGTGCTCGCTCTCCCTCCAAGGAGATGCCCTTGCCATTCCCCCATGAGCACGTATCCCCTAATCCTCCAAGAGACCCCACACGATTTGCAACCAGGGGAGCAATGGGCAGCGGCAGCTCATGCCTGGCTAAATCCTGAACCTGTCTCCAAGACCCCTTCCCTTTGGGTATCCCCATCTCCCATACTCTTTTTCTTAATAAATTTAATTTTCTTTAATCACCATCTAAGATGGCTATTTAGCCTTCGCACACACCAGCAACTTTAACCTTTCCCAATTAAAAATTTGATTGCTTTTTTGTGATAAAAAAAGCAACTGCCTTCTATTGCTGTCCATGAAGAAAATCGTCTGCTTCCACTGAAGATTTGAGAGAAGGCAGACATTCTATGTCAAAGATGTTCAAGATCATAAATTTCCAAATTATTTCCTGAATTCTCTTTCATATGTTATAAATTCAGCAGTACTTTGAATATGTAGTAAAGTGAAATAAATAAAAAATGCCCCTGAGAAATGAAATCAGCTGCTGTTTGTTTCTTCTTCAATCAAGTATTCAACAATGCTTTCTTTTCTTCTACTATTAAAAAAGTAAATTCTGTAAAGACTATCTGTATTTTATTAGTAGACCTGTACAGAGTATATAAAATATATTCTAAAGTCAAATAGAAATTATTTTTAGATTATATTTCAGATGGTTTATTTACCTAATTAGTATTCATATAATTCCCATTATTATTCATATAACTAAATGTTGAAATTATATATGCATAATCTTTTATATGTTTATGTTGTCATTTAAAATGTAAAAAATACATTATGCAAATTTTTTTTTGCTATTTGGTATTAATTTTATAGTTTAAAAATATTTTAAATACAAAATTATATAACAGTTGCCATGTAGCTCACTCAGCTGATTGTTATAGTAGTCTAAATTATAAAGATAACTTTTGATATGGGGCTTAAAATTCTTAATAAATTCCTTAAGATGTCAGTCTAGAAATTTTTTTTGTCTTTCTTGTCTAAAGTTGGACTACAAGAGAAAAATTCATATTTTAATCAAGTAAATCAAGTTCTTTTTATATCTTTTTTTTTTAAATATATTTTATTGAGTTTTTTTACAGAGAGAAAGGGAGAGAGATAGAGAGTTAGAAACATCGATGAGAGAGAAACATCGATCAGCTGCCTCCTGCACATCTCCTACTGGGGATGTGCCCGCAACCCAGGTACATGCCCTTGACCGGAATCGAACCTGGGACCTTTCAGTCCGCAGGCCGACGCTCTATCCACTGAGCCAAACCGGTTTTGGCAGTTCTTTTTATATCTTACCACTGAATTCCACTACCCCTTATTTTCTTATGCTGGCTTTTTTTTGGCTTACTTTTGGTCTGAGTGTGGGTGCTAAGAATACATTATACACATTATAGCATATACAAATTTTAAGAGATACTGCTTTCTATCAAACTTCTTCATTTTACTTACCTTGTATAGATCTGACCAATACTATATTTAGCTACAAGGATTTCCAGTCTTCATCTTTAACTAAAATTGTATTAACTCTTGCTCTAAAGTTTCAGATTGCTTATGGAGAGATCATTAGATACTGATATTACAATATAAACAATAAAGAAAATAGATGCAAGGCTAAACTTTTTGTTCCTGAATCATCTACTGCTCTGAATAACTTCGGGAAATGGTGTTTAGCTCTCCTTCATATTTGCATTCTAATCTCTACATAATCTATGAGTAAAACATAACTGTTTCCTCTTCTACCTTATTGTAAAAACATTTCAACTTATTTAATAGCAGGAATGTAGGTGATTGCATGAGTATAGCAAGCACATATGCATTAGGAAAATAGGAGAAATCACAAAAAATTGCTTGAAAATCTATGACTACAGTGATGTATATTAATGTATACATTTCAATAAATACAAGGGAGTAACACAACATTTACACTACTGATAAAATGGCAACTTAAAATTTAACTTGCATTAAGTAGTCTTCTGAATTTCCTCAACTCTAAAATGGGGGCAAAAATACTTTCTTCAAAGATAAAATAATGTAACTGAGTCCTGAACATTATGATGCACTGTGGTGTTATTTTTAAACTATTCAAACTATAAAAGGCAGTGGTGTTACTATATATATAAAACTGTAGACTGGCACTTATATTAGACTTTTAGAAGCTATTCTAACCTAAAGTATACAAATGTATTTTAAAGTTTTATCTATAGTAAATTCATAGTTAATCCACATTTAAAGTACAGCTGTAAACTGAGGATAATTCAATGACCGTTTTGCTTACTTTATGACAGTATCTGCAAGCAGTTAGCATTATATAAATAAAATAAAATTTACTTTATTTAATAACATTCCAGGCTAATGTTCATAATCAAGAACTAAATAATTCTTGTTTATCTATAGTGTACATATAACTTATACCAGTCCTCAATAAATTAATAGGGTGATTATAATTTAACAAAGAAACATATGAAATAGTTCCAGTGTTGACCACAATCTTTTTCCAAAATATATTCAGTTTAATAAATCCATTTCATTCTATTTATATACTGGAGGCCTGTTGCATGAAAAGATTCGTGCAATAGGCCTTCCCTTCCCCTGGCTGCTGGCACTGGTTTTCCTCCGGAACCCGGGACCCAGGCCTTCGCTCCGGCCGGAGCTGCATTTCAGCCTTCGCTGCTCCGGCCGGAGCCGCCTTCAAGCCTTCGCTGCCCCGGCCGGAGCCGCCTTCAGTCTTCGCTTTGCACCTACATATGCAAATTAACCGCCATTTTTGTTGGCGGTTAATTTGCATATCTCACTGATTAGCCAATGGGAGGCGTAGCGAAGGTATGGTCAATTACCATATTTGTCTATTATTAGATAGGATATTTCGATTAATAAGCAGTGGTAGGATTGTTAAGCAGACTCTTAGCTACTTAAGGAAAAGTCAATTGGATAGATATTGGCACTAGATAAAATAATTCTTTTGGCAATTCTATAGTTGCTTCAAGATCAAAATAGTGTTAAAACTAAGACACAAAGGTCACAGTGAAATCTTACATTAAACTGAGGCAAAACTGCCAGAAAGATTCCCTGTTGGAGAGCCAGCCTCTCTCCCTTGCTCCCCTTACTGTTTATGGTGACTTCTAAATGTGCAGTGATAGTAATAAAGCTAGCATAGCTGCAGGGAAATAGAAGAATACCAGAAAATCTCTTCTTTTGTACAAATACTTTAGATACAAAAGATTGTCATAAAATTCTTGGGTAGTTTTCAAAGTTGAAACACTTAATCTTCAGTTACTAAAAAAGGAATGATGATTATTACCAGTGCTTTACATATATCATTCTTAAAACAATACTGCAAGGTAGGAATTATAATAATTATGCTCACTTTTATAAAAAGGGAAATAGAGAGGTCATATAAATGATTCAAGAGTATAAAACCAAAATGGAGTAGGGCTGAAATTGAACACCAAGTCCATCTAGTTCAAAGTTCATACTTTTTCTACTACCATGGTCTGTTTCAGGGAATAAATATGATAGATGAATATATAAATTAAAGTTAACTGAAGTTTTCTCCTCATAGAAGTTTTCAAACTTCCATTATACTAGCTACAGAATGCAGTTTATGTTTCAATTTACAAAAGCTATTTTTTTAAGCTGGTATATAACCCAACATAGACTACATAATATATAAATCTAAATTCTGATTAACCTAAATTTAATGAAAATGCTTTCATAGGGCATGCATGAAATAATCTTTTTGTATCTACTTTCTATCATACCAAGAAGACGTCAAATAAACAAAATTAGGAGGAAAAAGGGGGACAAAATTTCAGATAAAATGTAAAAAAATAAAAAAAATATTTTGTATAAAGAATTCTAAGAATATAAGAATTAGAAAAATAAGTACTTTAAAATAGGATTTTGATAAAGTAAGCATGGTAGTTAAATGGATATTAAAAAATCTCATAAACATAAAAATTGACAGGAGAATAATCAAATATCTCTCTGATTAAAAGATAGTTTTAAAGATAAGTTTTACTCTATAAGAAACAGATAATTCCTTTTATACAAATTGATTACACAGCAGAAAAAAAGAAGAAAGAAATATAATTTATGATCGAAGACTGACAAGGAAAGATGAAAAGAAAATTATAGGTTTATCTCATCTATCAACATAGATGAAAAAATTCAATACCAGAAATACTAGCAAATCAAATTCAGTCAGTTGTTTCTTTCTCTGTTTCTCCCCCTCCCTTCCACTCTCTCTAAAAATCAATGGAAAATATCGCCAGGTGAGAATTCATAAATACAGTAAGTAATTTTTTTTAGTAAGTTTCTATTTCTTTTGTCAATCAACAATCAGTAAGTGTACATTCTTATTTTATTAACAACTCTCAGTCTTCCTCTATTTTTATATTCTTTCTTTGTTTTCCGTAATTCTCTCAGTATAAAACAAACTGATATATACACAGATATGATTGCATAGAAAAAAAGTGAAACTTGTTACTTGAAGGAATATGTTAAACCAATCTTCCTAACCACATAACCAAATAGACACAAAAATTTTCTGAAATAGTTGCATGAATAAAATCAAATATTAGAAAATAGCTATGTTAAAAGGACCTAAGTGATATTATTAGGAGCAATAATGATACTACAGTATATTAACTTTAACATACATCTTTTAGAGTTCATAAATCTTCAAATACATACCAGATCTGTTTTTGGAGTATCTGGACACTCCGAGAAATAAGGTGTTGAACTTCTGACTCCACTGTTATCTGAAGTTGGCTTTGGAAGTTGAGCATGCTGTCTGTAAGTAGCACTTTTAGGAGTCCAACAAAACAGGTTGATTGATTCTCGTACACAACGTTCAATGTCAATTTCTAGATGGAAAATTGGAAAAAAAATTTGGATTGCTATGTTTATTAAAAAACACACACAACCTTTCCTAACTGCATATATTGACACATGGCTAGGATCATAATTAATTAGAAAAGATTTCAACAAAAGAATAATGTATGCATTAATTAGCATATTTTTGACTGAAATGTTAGGGGGCATTTTGTATTATAAATATACATATTCATATAAATTTACATACATCAATACATGCATATATATCTATGTGTGTTTTATTTGGTATTATCAACATATATACATACATTTACACATATATGTATATTTCAGTATATAATTAATTAAATTCAGTACATTACTAATTAAACATCATAGATATTACATAGTCTAACTTAAGAATCTGCCTCATTTATTCTGATTATAGTTTTACTTTTCCAAAGTAAATTAGTGGTTGAGGAATTTGGGAGTGGGCAGGCAAAAGATTCAGAAGCTGATTCATTATGACTTGTAGTAAAATGTACTAAAAGTTACATTTCCAATTATTAAAGGAGATATAAAATAATCAGGGAAAAATTTATTATTTATTATTTATTGAAATCTCAATTCAGTTCTTCTTTTAAAAATAATATCTTGAGTTAAATGCAGAAAGGTTTAAATAAAGATTAAATGAACTTGATTAAAAGAAAAATTTGCATAGATTTCCTTTTCTTTTTCAGATTTGAAATGTAAGCATATTTGAAAGAAGTAATACATATTTCAAACTTGTTACAACGTCAAATTTTGCTGGTATGTTATGATGGCACTGCAGCTCTTTGGGAGGTCACTATCTGATGAAGATTAAACCAGCCCTGTAGAGGGAAAGCGTAGAGATCACAGAGGGGCAGGAGAAATTCAGCAAGTTGACCAGGATGAAGAAGTTTAGCATGGACGAGCTTTTCCCTTTCTGTATTCCTAACATCAGTAAATGGCAGATATTCTCAATTCCTCTGCGAAAGTCCAAGTGTGTCAGTTCAGATAGGTAATGTAGAAAAACAGACTATGTGTTTTAAATTACAAAGAGATAAATTCCCAATTTCTCTTTTTGAAATGAGAAACTCATACGTATATAAAGGGGAGAAGGAAACAGCCACTTAAGTAAATTCTGTTGATGGTACATGAGCCATGCATTTAGAGTTGTCTGCTGTTTGTAAGGTGGGAAATCCTTGGAGGAGAGGGGGGAATTGCACACTTACTGAGCATCTGTTATGTGCCAGGCATTGTATTCTTTCACTTAGCTCATTTAATTCTTACAATGATTCTAGTAGACAGGTATTGTAACCTTCCTAACTTCTGTTGAAGATGAAGAAACTAAGACATAAGCAAGCTAAGTGACTTACTATGTTAAGTGTGTTATTATAAGTAGAAAATGTCTGAAGCTGTTAAAGGATTATAAGACGTACTTTATTTTCCAATTCATTTGGATTTTGAATTGGCCAGCAGGTCTGGGAAGACCAGTTACTCAATTAAGCATTCCTGCATCTGTGATTAGTGAGGTTTACCAATTTCAGAGTTGGTTACTTCCAGGGCTACGCAAAGAGGTCATATTTCATCACTCCATATGCTATTCCTAACATAATATTTTAAAAACCCCACAGTTAACATGTTTTTAGACATGGGTCTATTTGAGCAATGGCTAATGAAGTTAAGTTTTTTCCCCCAAAAAACCTCTATAACATTATCCTCTTGATATTCTAGAGAAAGAACAGACATTAACTAGATGAAAAATCAAAGTTTGAAATAAGTTTCGCTATTCCATTTAAGCAGAGATATGTTCACTTCATTTTAGAAAATTTCCAGTTAATATGGATAAGATGAAAATTTGCAGCTAAAGAGAGAAAACTGTCATCTTAAAAAAGTTAAGCCATTTAACACTGTAATCTCTAAAGGGAAAGGATTTCAGACGACAATGACAGGTTTTACATCTGCACTGCTCAAATCAGTTGACACGTTTGCCACTCAGTAAAAGCCCAAGTCAATGGTTCAGGTCAGAGGTTGTAGTTCAGTCCTTAAATCTCTGGCAAAGGAAAAGTCATTTGCACCTGCCTCCAAAACACCCTGTCAACACTGTAAAAAGTTTACAGTGAATCTTCAGTATTTACTGGTGCCACCCTCCCAATTTCACCCCGATTATTAGTACTGATAGATATCCCATTCTCCATTCACTTAACCAAAATATCATGCAATAGTACTTTGTAAACTGTACATTAAATATGCAATTATTCTTAAAAAGTAACCTCTCATTTTAGGACACTGCTGTTTTGCATCTTGCATAGTAATTTTGATAGAATGCATTGTGAATAAAGCATGTACACTGGATTATGGTTCCCCAGGTTTCATTCCAAGCTCTGTGAAGTACTTTGTGACTCGGACAGAAATAATGTCTCTAAATCTCAGTTTCTTTATCCTTATCCATTACTTCCCTATCTCTCAGAAATACTGAACTATTTTTAGAGTGATAAAACACGTCATATTTCACTTGGGTGAGAATAGGTGTAAAAGACATCTCGCCTTGAAGCCGTGTCCTCTAGTTTTAATGGCTATGAACTGTTTCTTAGCGCCAGTGAATAGCGTTGCTGCATCTGTTTACAATTATCCAATTCCCTTTGGCTTTCCCCTATATTTGAACCCTAATATTGTTAAGATATTATCTACTTCTTCTGAATTCACTCCATCATTTTGGTGGAACATATTTTCCAGCAGCATTTAAGAAAGGGTGCGTAATATAGTTATTCTGCCCTTGACTAATTATTGGACAAGGCATAGTCTTCTAGAGTTGAACGTGAGTTATAAAAGGCAATGCTCCATTTTCTTGTGAGAAGTCTGATACAATTATGAGTTGAGGTTACTTGTATGTGATTTTCCTCTTTTCTGTATACTTTTAAGATCCCTGGTGTTCTGAGGTGTCATGATATATGTTAAGTGCATGCAACTTCATTGTGCTAGGCATTTAATGGTCCTTTTATAATTCTTCAGTTACAGAAAAAATTCTATTTTGATGTCTGTGATAATTCCTTTTTCACTGTTCTCTCTTCTTCTACTAGAAGAATCTTGAACATATTGCATTTCTAATAATTTTGCCTTTTACTTTTACTTCCAGTATGTATTTTTGTTCTACTTTTCTGATTAATTTCCTAAACTTTATCATCAGCCCTTTATTATAAAGGTCATTGAATTTCCAAATCATTATTAATTACCAATAAATATTTTATTTTCTTTGTTAGTTAAAAAAAATTCTGATTTTTCATGGTTGTAATGTCTTCTCATAATTATGTTTCTGAGGATATGCCTTATTCAGTTTGTGCTGATTTGTGTCATTTAGTGGAAGGCTTTCCTTATAGTTTTGGTGATCTCTGACAATGCATATTTAAAAGAACAACACTAAAAATCATATTGGGAGTTTTGTGTATGTGGGCAGGGCTTGGTGACTGGTGAATTCACAATAGGGTAAATTGGGGACATAGTTATTTGTTAGAGGACTTTTAAGTAAGGTATTTCTCCTTCTAGGGACATCTCTCCAGAGAACAATTCTGTGATCTGCCTAAATGAATCCTTGCCAGCATTCTGGGAATTGACCATGGATGGACCTGCAGGTTGAAACTATACATTCCTCATTCCTGCTCTATGCTATGCTCTTGACTCCTTGGTTTCAAGACTCTCTGATTCTATTACCCCAAAGAATACCTCACCAAATTTACTGTTACCTTTGGTCATGTTTTTGCAAAAATAAAGATATCTAAACCATAATCAGTGAAGACTGCCATCTTTATTTATACCCATTCCCCCTCCATTATGCTTCCTCTTATGTTGGGCAACATTATAGTGGCTGTGGATATAATTAAGAATAAGCTAAGTTAGGAATACATTTAGTTTGGTTTTATGTGATATATTTCTATGATTTATAATCACTTTGGGGTATTGAAAAAGACTTTCTCCTTGACCAAACTCTAGCCAGGCTTCTCTATGTCCTTTCTTGACTATGCCTCCACCTTGGCCTATGAAAGACTTGAACAAAACACTAACATAGTTTATAATAGTTCCAGGCCACAACCCTAGGATGACCTTTGTCACAAAATTTTAACATTTTAATCCTAAACATTACAGGGCAAGTAGACCCTGGACCCTATCTCCATATCCCATAAATCCTAACTTTTAGTTTCCATTTTCAATATTGCCCTAACCACTAAAACATTAGTGGTTTTACAACCTCTGGGTTATGGAAATACATATTTCTGAAATAAATGTTACAAAAACAAAAATGGAAGAAAGCCAAACTGTCTCCATGAAGGAAAAAAAAGTGGAACATTTTGAAGCTTTTAGATACTTCTCTTTCCATGTCTTATGATTAACCTGTCGATTCAGTGCATCATAAGGTCAATGTCATGGTCCCCATGTTGAACAAACATCTAACTAGTGTCCATTGATTCCAAGTTAGTAGAGGATGAATCTTTTTGGATACTTTCAAAAATAGCTGCCAGCTCAGGGTTGGAACTGATCTGCGACTGGAATTCACTCATCAGTGGACTCTTCTCTGCTTCTGGAATGGTTAGCAGTGCTGCTACTGCTCTCATGGCTGCTCGTTCCAGCCAACACCTGAAGAGGGGGTCCCTGTCTCCTAGTCTCTGAGAAGGTGGAGATCTGACTTCAAAAGTGCCAAGTAGCAAACCCAGACAGGCTTCCCATGAACCAATGTCCCCCTTCAAAATTTTTCAATTTTTCACTTTGCTGAATCTTCTGAGTTCTAGTCACTTACCTCCCTATTCCTCCATTCTTCTTTTAAAATGTCCAGTCACTTCTGTACAAACTGAAGTTGAGTTCAATTGAAGGTGAACACCTCCTTATTGCAACAGTATATTATTGACTAAAACCTACCCTTACCACATTAGTATTTTGCTTTGTTTATTTTTGATAGTATAAAGTTATTGTTAGTTTTAGGAATGACTTCCTGCAGTACTTCCACTACCCACTATACAGAAGCAGAGGTTGTAGT